AACTTCCGGTTTTGCCAGTAAATCATAGTGGTTAGATTTGCCTTTCCTTCCTTAATGGGTTAATATTTTTTGGGGGGGGGTAATGAGAAAGACGACTGGAAGAATGGGTGAGAAAATAGTCCTAAAATGGAAGATATGGACATGTAGGAAATCATAAAATTCTGTGAACCCAACTAGGCCAGTGTGCAAAGAAAGAAAAAATCGCTGGTCTAAATTAACTTCATAGTCCCATCATGAGTAGATCTCTGGAATCGATTGAGGAAAGCTGTTCTCCAGAAGCTCCCTCGGGGCTGCTTTGTGACCACAAGAGGTTTGCAATCTGAATTTAAGTGGTTCATCTTCCTCTGCCTTGCCCCCCCCACTCTTTCTGCCCTTCTCGAGCAGCGGGGTTGCGTTGCTCACAAAACCCACAGTCGCTCCCTCCCTGGCCTGAGGACACACAGACTCGGCAGGACAGCCACCAAGCCGTGAAAGCCAACAGCCCAGTGAAAACAAAAACTCTCAGGAGGCAGATCCCATCTTGTGGCAGGTCCAGATGTCGCTGGACTCCGGCTCCAATCGGCCAGCATGCCTAGTGGGACACGTGCCGGGTCGTGAAAGATTAAAGGCCTAAAGGGAGCATAAAGTTGCTCTTGAAATCAAGTCTGTATTCTCAAATGTTTTGAGCACAGCGAACAGGATTCTGTTACTAGGAAGCTAGAAGCGGATAGCCACATTTATAAAATTAGGTGTGGTGTAGGGGATATGGCTGGAAAAAGGGGAAGAGCTCTCTTTTCCCCTAATAATAGAAAGCACAACAGAGCCGCCATGGATTGAAGATGAATAAAAGGAAGGTTTTTTTCCACCAACTCCTGCAGGGAATTCCTGCCACACGGTGCAGCCCGTAGATAAATAAAATCTTTTTGTTCGGGAGCTCCTGACGCAGGAGACAGACCGAGGAAGAAGGTGTGCATTTCTTTCGAGTTTAGAGCTGAGCAAAGCGGCGGGGAAGGAATCTTACTTTATTCCTCGTTGAGGTCCTTGGAGAAATTAAGCAGGAATGATCAGCCGGGAGTTAAAAATCAGCCGCACCTTCTGTGGCTTGTGTTGGTTTGTTCCCAGATTTCTTTCGGGAGGAAGCAGTTAAGGGTTGCCCCTATGATGCTTACACGAGGCCATCCGTCCTCATTCATAGCTTTAAAAAAAGGGGGAAAAATCTATTGTGACGTTTCAGGAAAAGGGGGGAAAAGTGAATAAACGAGGGCATTATTTTTTCATCTCGAGGCTCAGCGTCTGTTTGTCTAATCAAGAAAGAGAGCCCGGAAAGTCAACCACGGTTGACGGGCACATTTTATTTAACTTTTCCTCTGTCAGAAGGAGTTTAAATGTGTAATGAACAGGCCGCGGCGATTTGAAATATAATCCCATTACTTTGATGAGATTACCAAGGCTAGGGGAGTTCACAAATCATGCTTAGGGCTTTTTATAGCCAACATCGCCCTGTTGAGATCTTTACATTTAAAGCAAGAGGTGGGCAAGGAGAATAAAACATGACAGAAACACCCCGTGCTCTTAACTGTTTGCTCACCTGGCCTGGAGGCAGCTCCTTCTCTGCTCACGCGCCAGAGGAAGAGCGTTGCCTGGGATCGGGGCCTTGTGGCAAGAGGCCCATCTGAATTTCTTCTGGGTCCTGGTGAGCCTCAGTCTCCGGGTGGATCAGACTGGAGGGGTACAGTCCTGACCTGATATAAAGGGCTGAGCCATTTTAATCTCTTTTTTTTTTTTGCACCCAATATCAGGCATTGCGTTCTGAACCTACCACAGGTCCCTTTGCAAAACGGGAAGGTTTTTGTTTTGGACGGTCTGGGATAGAGAACTGAGTGGTTCAGGTCAGAGGTTGGGTGTTCGAATCTCCCCTTGTGCCTCCTGCAATAAAAAACCAGCCTGGGTGGCCTTGGGCAAGCTGCACAGTTGAAGGCACCCCCCTCCCACAAGAAGAAATAGCCAACCCCTTCTGGGTATTTACCTGAAAAACCCTGAAAAGGGTCATCTTGAGTCAGAATTGCCTTGAGAGCACATATTTATTATTATTATTGGATTGTTTCCTGCGCTCTACTAGTAGTTTGTAACTGCCGTTAACTCTGTACTGGTAGAAAGCTAGCAGAAAAGCAAGTTGACTTCTCCAGCAATTGCAGTCTTCTGTTTATTGGGCGGGGGGATTTCACATGGACCTGCATCTTCCCACTGCCTGCTGTGTGAAATGGTGGAAGGCTTTCTCCTGCCTGTGGAGAAAGAATAACCGAGGACATCTTGTTCTGTTTGCCCGGGAAGATTTGCGTGATCCTCTTGTGATAAGAAAGGGAATAAAGGCAAGAAGAAAGAGCTTAGGTGCTTTGGAGGGGGTGAGCTGGAAGGCATCAGATCCACTGTCTTGAAGAGAACTGCCTCTGCTTTCTTAAAAAAAAAAAAAAGTTTCTAGTCCATATGATGGTGAAAGGCAGCTTGTAAATCCAGGGCCTCTTAATGAGAAGGACCCAGGGCTCTCAACCTTCTGAGACATACACGGGAGGGCATGAAAAGGCATGCAAATCTTTTTGGACACGGTTTCAGTTCACACGGGGGAACATGTTCTGGCGAGCCCCACCCACCCCAGCCCCGAACCTGTGCAATAACCGAGAGGGGAGAAGGTGTTCCTGGGTTAGCGGCTCCCTCCTCCGGCTATAAAGCTGAAATGGGGAAGGGAGAATACTGTACGGGACCCCCTTAAGGTGGAAAGTTTGAGCGCGGCAGCTTTATAGCTCTCCTGAGAACTCCTCTTCTTCCTTTTGGCGCCTCATAAAAACACCTGCCTGCTCGGAGTAGCGGAAGAATCTGTGAAGAAGGCCACACTGCGCCCGGGCTGATGATTTAAGCAGCATTAATTTCAGCCGAAGCTGCCTCCTGAAATGTAGCAACAACTCCAGCAGGCAGATTCCCCTGGAAATTCATGGTTCCATTACAGACATGTCTCCATGAATAACTGCCCCCATTAATCTTGGCCGGGCTGCACCCAGGCATTGCCTTTAATGAGGTTCCTTCCTCTGGTTTCTTCCCCGGGATTGGGCTCTCGAGAGTGTCGGTTTTCCCCTCCTACCCAGGGCCCGAAGTGCTCTAAAACTTGGCCAGGGTCTGGGAAGGAGGAGCCGGCCAGGAAACCCGACTACGACGGATCCAGGGTGGGTCAGCCGAAGGACCAAATCTAGGCCATGACAATCCAGTCTGTGGCTCTCTCTCTCTCTCCCCTCCCCAGCTTTGCAGTTTAGGATTCGTCTCATCACGGTGGAAAATAAAAATGTCCATATGGCTATGGATTCACAGAGGCGTTAACAGCTCTCCCTCTTCCTCTCCTGGTCTTCTAGGACAAAGAGCTATTTAAAGATAAACTGACCTCTTGTCCACGTGTCATAGCGCTATCTTATTAGGCACCAACCGGGCATAGGGTGGCTCCATGTGCCGTTCCATTTTTTTCCCTGCCCTGGATTTGACCCACTAGGCAGGCGTACACAAGGAAAGTATATCCTAGTGGTGGTTATGGGAAATCCATATCATTCTTGCTATTATTAGTACACCTGAGAGGGCAGGTTGATGGAAGAGCATGAGATCAGAGGCCCCGGGTTCAAGGTCTTGGCCATGAACTTGCGAGGCAGTTTTAACTCAGCGGCTTTAGATCAAGTACTGCTGAAGGGTTAGGGACAAGAATAATAATATTCACCTATCTAACCAGGTCATTGTAGGCATTACTGAGTTTGGGGAAAGTGTGTCTTTGCCAGGAGGCTACAGAATAAATCTGTTGCTTCAGTTTGGAAATAGGGGGTCATCTTGTTCTGGTTTCTCTCCTGTGACGCCTTCTTCAGACCCTCTTCACAGAATGACAGAGGGGAAATGTTCCATTTTACCTGCTTTGTTAGCAGTGGCTAGCTTTCTACTTGCAGGGAGCTTCCTTCCTCAGTTTCAATACAGTATAACGGAGCGATCAAAAAAGTCATCCACCCAGCAACTCATTTAGTTTCTTTTGAGGTTAGAAAAATATATTTCTCATGTGATGTTGTATCGTGTCTGGGACTTTTTAAAAAAGGAATTTCTGCCACAAAACTGGGGGCACGGATGGAAGGAAACCTAATGACAGTTCTTCCCCCAAAGGTGCATCTTAACCATCTGGGTAATTTTCAAGAGCAAATAACTAAAAGTTATGTGGGATTTTTCAGCAGAAAACTAGTCTGTAATGCCTTTTGCAGCCACTGATTCCACGTCAACATGAAAGCCCGACCATTAACAACGGTGGGAAAGACAAATATCCCGGATCTGAGATGACAAGTGCGAAATACGTGGAACGCTTGGAAATGTTGCAAAAAAATGCTCAAGAATAATCGTCAACCCTTGCTCTCTTGAAGACAGCAAAGTAGCCCAGATGCAACTGTTGGTAAAAGCAACTCCATTTCTGCTACCAAGAGAAATCCAGAAAAAAAAAATCATGATTGGCATGCTTCCAAGAACAAAGACCATCATGCCTCAAGGAAAATATCCCAAGTACAGTAGGATCCCTGTATCTGTGGAGGATTGATTCCACACCACCACCACCCGTGGATGCTGAAAACCACATATAATAGTGGATCCTATACATAGTAAGCTTTTTAAAAAAATCCGTATTTTTACCATGTGTTACCAGAACTGGCCACTAGAGGAAGCCAGAGACTATGCTATGTATTCCTCAATAACAAGAATACGTAGCATAGGATCTGGCTCCCTCTAGTGGCCAGTTCTGGTAACTACATCATGAAAATACATATTTCTAGGTGTGTTTTTAAAAAATGTTTTTAATTTTTTTTCAGACCGTGGATAAGTGAAACTACAGATATTCATCCCACAGATACGGGGGTCCTGCTGGGCTGAACACCACATTTGGCAAAATAATAATGAGCTAATAATCACCTTTCCCCACCCAGACTCAGATCACTGAAAGAACCGGATCCTGGAATAAGGCCTTAGAGAAAGATTAGACCTGGTTTATTAGTAGTAAAAATGAATACAATTGTCCTACAAGTTTTGTTTTTGTAAAGAAATGTAATCCAAGTCACAAGCCATACGTTTGTGGGTGTGTCTCTGTGTTGGATGTGTTATGGATGGAGGCCGTGTTAAGGTTGAGCCTCTGGACCTTTTTTTTTTTTTTGCAGAATTGCTCGGCCAGCCCGCAGGTGGCTTTGCTCGCAATGGTTACTTTAGAGAGTCCTAGAAAAGAAAAGCCAACAAACAAACAAAAACAGAATTCACCCCCCCCCAAAAAAAGAAACAAGATGTCAGGCCTAGAGGGGCGTCTTTTCCTGCCGCCCTTGCCCCCACTTGGAGGTCTCAAATGCCCCGCGGTCCTCTTTCGGGTTGATATGGCTCTTGATTTCCATCAAAAGGGCAGCGCCCGTTTGCCAAAAGTGGCCTCCATCCTGCCAACCTGTAAATGAACAGTTATTTTATTTTTCCTCCCCTGCTGCGCCCCCAGCCATCGGCAGCCGGAGCTCCGGAGTCTCCTCCCCCAGGTTGTTGTTGTTGGTGCGACGTCGTGGCTTTTGTCCGAAGGCTGGCCGATGTCTCGTCCCTTTGCGTCTGTCTAGAGACCCGCCTAGACTCTCACTGTTGCCCGGACTTCTTCTCCTTCTGGAAGCTAAAGCTGGTCCTCCGACTCAGTTTCCGTTGCTTCTGGGCCAGGTACTCCGCTCGGGCGGTGCTGGCGCGCGATTCCAGGATGTAGTTCACCTAAAGCCAAGAAACGGCAGAGAAAGAGAGGGGCGTGCGAGTCTTCAGACTTCCCAGCTGTGGGACAGAGAGGGTTGCTCTAAAAAGCAAACGATTGTTACAGACAGCTCACTTCTGACTAATGCAAAGTGGATAAAAACCGAATTGACTTAGATCACATTTTAAATGTTTGTTTTTAAATCAATTTTTCATTTAAATCATAAAAAAAAATCCCAGTCAGTATTTTTGAATCCGTTCTTGTTTGCTCCCGATGTTCCTGGCTGTTTTCCCCCAGCATAATTCTGTGCCGCGTGGACCTCGCCCCCTGCTCTTCAAATCTCTAGAAAACTGGCACCAGTCACTTGCCAAGACAAACTCGAAGAAGAAGCCACGTCTACCCTGAGCTGTTAACAACGTGCATTAAGACCCTTCCTTCTTCCTGTCCCTTTCCTTCTGAGGTTTGCACCCTCAGCGCGCTTTGTGCGCGCCCAAGTGTGTTTTGGCCCACGCACCTTGATGAAGGCATTTTTAAATGATGTTTAACAAGCCAGCTCTTCCTCAAAATTTATTATCTCCCAGCAGTTGGGCAATAATCACATAGATAATTTTAATGGAAGGTTAATGCAAAAATCAAAAGATAAAGGCACCCTTTTGCTCTGCCATTAGCTGGCTAATACACTGTGGCGTGAAACCTTGCCCAATTTTATGCACTGCGAGGTGCTTTGCTTCTGCACTGGATTATGGCAGCAGGCGGAGGGGGGGACGCGAAGATACGCCGGACGGCGGTGTGGACAGTAAGATCTCAGGTAAAGGACCTAATGGGTGAAGTCTGACTGAAATAAAGACAAGGAATTTGTAAACCAACCAACCAAGGAGACAGGGAATTAGTCAATGGAGTCGTCGGCGTTTTGTGCAGGTGGTCTTTGGCTTGACTCACTTGCGTGAGTTGTCTAATTCCAGGTTACTATAAAATCCAATTTGAACAGAATTCAATTTGTGTTATATTTCCTCCCATCTTTCGCCAGAGTCGTTCAAGGCTGGGCAGGCAAGTCTTCCTGGCAACTCTGCAAAGTAATTTGAGCTCGGTGGGACAAGAAAGGAACTCAAGATAATTCAGAGGACTTTTTGACCCATCGGAGATTTGAAGCAAGACCTATCTAACGGTCAAACTGCATCTGCCCTCGAGGATTTTGCTTGGTGCCGATGCACCTTGGAATGGCCTGACAGCTAAGCCTAGCTTTTTTTTTTGCTCTTGCATCTAAAACAACTCATGGAATGAAACAAGCCTGCACCCGTCTGGACAGATGCTGTTCTGCTGTGGTTCTGCACATATTGCTGTCCGGGATAACCCTGTTGCTGTCCGGGAGAGGACAGAGAGCGCTGACTCATGCACGGAGTTCTTCCTAGGGTTCTAGGTCACTCAGACCTAACTATCACTTGATCCTGTGTAGAAATGACCTCCTCCTCTTGGGGAGACCAACAGCAGCCAATCACAAAGAGAGGCAACGGGCAACCTCCTCTGGCAGTGAATGGACAAGAGAACCTTTTCATTCTTTATGGTCTTCGGTGTGGTTCTCACCCTCTTGCAGGCACCAATGTTCTCGGTGAGGGGTGAGCAAACCTGATCTGGCCTTCTGGTAGATCTCTGGGTGATTCACAGTTGATCCACTACCTTGTTTTAAGAAGAGCAGTAACATTTCCCCCCTCCTCCTCCTACACCAAGTGGCTGAAAGCAAGAAGACTGGGGTGTGAAGCATCTGCCAGATGTTTTGGACTACAGTTCCCATCATTCCCACTCCTGTGAACGTTTCCTGTTTAGAATTTTTAAAAACCTTGAGGGACAGGAACTTTATTTTCCGTCTTCCTATGAAAGCCGAGAGCCACTTAGCGGCAGGTGACCACTTTCCGTCTTCTCCTGTGCAGGTGGGAGCGCAGGCTCCAGATTTTAATTAGCCCCCCCCCGTGTCATAAAAACAAAGTGGAAAAGGGAGTGGTTTGTTTAACAAGGGTGGATTCAGGACACCCGGTCCTCCCCAGGCGATTTCAATTTTAACAGGTCTCAATAGTCCTCTTTGTTCAATGAAAAAAGTGCCGATTATTCTCAAAGGGCCCTCAGCTAGCGCTTCCCTGGCATGTAAATAAACCATCCCTTCTTCCCCGCTTGGGTGGTGGGCAAAAAACGAGGATCCCTCAGCACTGATCAGTTGCTGAACGCTTCCATCAGCTCTTCTGCGCGAGGAGAAGAAACTCCCGTTAAGGACTGGAAATGGCACATAAAGCTGATCACTTGAAAATTTTAAATTGCCATAAAAATAATGGATGGCAGAAACTTCCATTTAACCTTCCCCACAGCTTTAGCTCCTTGGTTGCGGAATGTAAATCAACCAGAGCGCACGGCAAGCTGTATTTCTTTAAATAATAATAATAAAAAGTAAACCCTTCAGTTAAAAAAAAAGTATGCGTGCAAGTGATCTGGAAGGAAAGGTAGCTGTGTGAGAGACCAGAAGCCTGCCGATGGTAGGGGGCTAGCAGAAACCGACTCGCTCCCTGCGATCTAAGAGCTAAGGTCAAGAAACCGGCCCCCTGAAAGATTTTCAGGTGCCAAGAGCAGGCATGGGCCTTTAAGGGGACGCTCCTGAAAGGTTTTGAAGAAGACAAACAGCAGCAATAAAAGGCAGGAACCAGCTGCAGCGGGCCTCTCAGAAAAGGTTCTCAGGTGAGAAGTCCTTGGCAATAGGCCAGGAGGGTCCAGCTTGGGGGGTTCACTGGGCTCCCTCTTTGGCTGGAATGAAAGGGAGGTACGGCTGGGGAGGGGCGCTGGCCGGAAGGTCGCCCTGTTTCCCCATCACCAGTGAAAAGGGAGGAACGGTGAGATGGACGCCATGCCTGGCCCGGTGACAGTGGGCATCAAGAGAGGCAAACGGACAAGACAGACATTGCTAAGGTTGGGTACATAATGGAGGGCATCAGAGGAATATTGGGTGTCGATGCCTGTTGGTGCAGTGACAGCCTTTCAAAGAAACCAAAAATAATGGAGTTAGAAGGGTCCCTCGAAGGTCATCAAGTCCAACCCCCTGCTCAAGGCCGGAATCCAAGTCAAAGCAGATCGGACAGAGGGTGGTCCAGTTTTCTCTTGAAGGCCTCCAGCGTTGGACCACTCACCACCTCCTGAAGTCATGGGTCCCATTGTTGTACTGCTCTAACAGTTGAGATTTTTTCCCTGATATTCAGCCTAAATCTGGCTTCCTGCTGCTTGAGCCCATTGTTATGTGTCCTGCACTCTGGGATGATCGAGAACTGTACATTTAGATCCTTCCAGTTCTGACCACGAAGATTTTTGAGTGCCTTATCATCCAATATGATAAAAGGAAGGGAGCTGAAATCGGAGGAAGTAAGGGAGCTGCAACTGGCGTGGGGTGGCCTAACCCCATCTTCCTGCTACTCAAAAAGTTGTGTCCCTTCAGCTTGGCGTATCTTGGCTCTATTCCAATGACTAGAGCATATGATTTCTTCTAATCTGTTGGAAATGCCTCCTCTGAGGGGGACATAGCCCTCCATGACTGGTGGTCCCTGTGCACACACACACACACCCCGTGTTCGATTTAGGCTACAACTTACCTTCAGCACAATCTCGTTGACTGTAGCAGCGTCCGATTCAAAGTAGAGATGTTTGTAGTCATGGTTGCTTAGATATGTGAGTTTAAATATTGCATGACCTGTAAGTATTTAAAGAGAAAGAGAGCTTTTAATTTTGAGTTTCCCGGGGACTTCAACGGCCATCCATTTCACATCAAGTAAGCATTTAACCTGCTTCCCCCACAGACAAACTCAAAATGAGATTACGACCCGTGAAGTTAAGCATCTTAAGCCCCGTGCCTTACAACTGAAATACATTGAGGCAGAATCCTAAACTTATCATTGAAGCGGTAGACGACACCTCCAAAGTGTGAGGTTTTGACTCCCCTTTGTCTCCAAAACGCAGAGAGAACAAGCTGTGTTTTTTCTGCGTGTCACAGTTCTGGGCATGGCTCTTCATTCAACCAAAAAGCAAGCGCTCGTGGAGAGAGAGAGAGAGAGAGAGAGACTGACTAGAGCATATTATTTCTTCTAGTCTGTTGGAAATGCCTCCTTTGAGGGGGACATAACCCTCCATGACTGGTGATCCCTGTGCAACCCCCCCCCCCCGTGTTCGATTTAGGGTACAACTTACCTTCAGCACAATCTCGTTGACTGTAGCAGCGTCCGATTCAAAGTAGAGATGTTTGTAGTCATGGTTGCTTAGATATGTGAGTTTAAATATTGCATGACCTGTAAGTATTTGAAGAGAAAGAGAGCTTTTAATTTTGAGTTTCCCGGGGACTTCAACGGCCATCCATTTCACATCAAGTAAGCATTTAACCTGCTTCCCCCACAGACAAACTCAAAATGAGATTACGACCCGTGAAGTTAAGCATCTTAAGCCCCGTGCCTTACAACTGAAATACATTGAGGCAGAATCCTAAACTTATCATTGAAGCGGTAGACGACACCTCCAAAGTGTGAGGTTTTGACTCCCCTTTGTCTCCAAAACGCAGAGAGAACAAGCTGTGTTTTTTCTGCGCGTCACAGTTCTGGGCATGGCTCTTCATTCAACCAAAAAGCAAGCGCTCGTGGAGAGAGAGAGAGAGAGAGAGAGAGAGAGAGAGAGACAGCAGGCTGCCTCTTTCGAAGAGGGGAGCCATTCTGATGAACTCTCGCTGCTAAGTCCCCCCCTGGCGTGCGGAGGCAGGGCAGGATTCCTAACACCCAGTGGGAGAGCAGAGGGGAAAGAGGGTGAGGGCAGCAACTCGTACAGAGATGCGACAAACTCTAAAATAATCCTCATGAAGCTAGTCCCTGGGGTGATCTTGGGCTTGCCCTCCTTGTCTTGGGCTACCTTGCAGGATGGTTGTGAGGATAAATAAGAGGGGGACCTATATAGTCTTCATTTCCTAGGGGAGTGGAGGGGTGCGCCTAACACAACAGGAGTGTGCCATTATTCTTTTCCTCCTCTTCCCCCCCCGCCCGACGGCCCCCTCACTTTTCCCAGCAGGGTACAGTTTGGGAACCGTCAGTCTGAAACTTTCAGCACAGTCTTGTGGGCATGACAGGAGTTTGGGGGGGGGGGAAGAAGAACACACAGATGGCGATCTTAGCATACCATCGGCAGAACAGACGGCGAGAGGGAGCCTGACAGCCTTCCCATGTCATTTCAATTTCAGGCAAGAAGGGTGGCTTACCGGAGAGGCTGAACTTCCATCAAGAGAAGTTCACCACCAACCCCCTCCCCTCCCCACGTGCTTCCCATCCATTTTGGAGGGGGGGGCAAAAATGCAAATAGCTGCCACAGGGTGAGTTGGGTGCCAGCCATCCCCTGGACCCGGATTGCTGCCGCTTACGCACCCGAGTTATATATATATATGGGTTCTTCTTCTCCACCCACTGGAAAAATACCATGCTGAATTCACTTCTTCACTGCTGGATCCTCTTCCTTCAGCTGCCCTCACTTGGAGTATAAAAACGTAAGATTTCAGTGTGTGCACACAGTTAGGGGGTGAGTCGTAGCCCTGACTGAAGATTGGTGCAGAACCTTGAATGATTCCTGCAGAGACACGGCAAAGTTGTCGGTCCGCAGGACAACCAATATAACACGAAACAGCCTCTTTTTGAAGGTGGGCAGTTTTGCGCAGTTGCTGTTTTGGGGAACGGCTGAATGAACCCTGCAAGATTTCTGCTCAAAACGACCTCGGAGCATGTAAAGGGTGTTCTTGCACCACTTTGCTAGCGGCAGACAATCCCCTATGCCGGAGCACTAGAGAAATGTTAAATTCTGTTAATACACATCTGTTCTGATTTCTAATATCCCCTGCCTCATTCACAAGGGCAAGGACTGGCTTTTTCCTCTTCCCTTATTGTGTGGACATCTAAACCACTTCAAGAGCCTGCCCAGTTGTGTAAGTGCTAGGTAGGTAGGTAGGTAGGTAGGTAGGAAGGAAGGAAGGAAGGAAGGAAGGAAGGAAGGAAGAAGTTGATGAAGGAAGGAAGGAACAGAAGGAAGGAAGGCAAGCACAAAGGACTATACAATGCATGCCATCTCTCTTCCACACAGACATTTTTGTACATACAAAGCACTATACAACGCATGCCATCTCACTCTCTTCCACACAGACATTTTTGTACATATCTCCCAATACCGTCTGAGTAGAATAAGAAAATCAGCAGGATCTGCTGGACGTATCAGGTCAGATATGTGCATCGTATTTTAACACCATATTTTGCCTCCTTGCTGGTGTTATTGTCATGCCAGTGTTGTACGATGAAAATCACAGGGCCTGGGTGAGGCCCTAATTAAGGGATGCATTTTATTAAGAGCACCATATTATGAAAACGACGAGTCCTAGTCTAGGGCCTTGTTAGTACATTCGATAATCCGGCCCTGGATTCAGTTCTCCAGCGACGGAGGGGTTGTGATGAAAATCAACCGCAGTGCCATGTAAAAACACCCTAAACTATTCTCGATTTTCAGCAGGCCATAGTTTGGGAAGCACTCCCTTAAATGTTCCACACTTACAGCTTACGCACATGCTAAATGTCCTTTGTTCCCATGAAAATTCATCTGCTGGCAATTAAGATTTAACACATTAGGCTGTGCTCGCCGTTTTCATTTTAATGCGTTTGGTCTCAAAGTCCAACTTAACTCATCTCCCGAAAGAACAGCCTCCTTTTTTAATGGAGATTTATCCACTTTTCCCGGAGGGGGACCGGATTTGAAATCTTATTTACAGTAGCTAATTCTCCAGATCTCTCCAAATACACTGATATACGGCCGGCGAAGCACAGACCTTGGTATTTCATCACGGCACATTAATTAAACCTATTATCCCAAGCTAATCAGGAATTATGAATTCTTTATCGAAAAACTGGCGGACGATCAGAAGCTAAACTTTAAATCAAGGAGAAGAGGGATGGGGACCTGAGGAAGGGGCTGGGGGGGGCAGCCCGGTTTGGCTCAGGGGGCTGCTTCTTGCTGACCCTTATATCCCAGCCTCGCTGCTCACACGGAGCTCTGGCAGACCCTTCGGCGGCCGGCCCGTCACACTTGTGAAACCCAAAGATTTATCTCATCTCTCCTGCTCTGGTATTTCACGGCTGACAGAGGCAGAATGCGGGACTTTATTTCAAATTCTTATTTTTCGCTTTTGAAGGAGTCAGCCCTTTTCGGGGGCCATTACCGAGTCAGAGATGTCAATACCACTTATTGCGCGGAGACTAACAGGAGGCAAGAGGGCCAATCCATCATGGAAGGCTTGTCTTCCTAGGTGCACAGGCATTTCCATCCTCCGAAGGGAGAGCTGCCTTCTGCGGCTATGATCCGCAGAACCTTGGCTGCCTCCCCCCCTGCGCCCTTCAAACGCAGAGATTCAAATGGAATTTCCAAAACGCCGTTGAAATTGACAAAAGCAACCCACAGCCTTGACGTCCAGATTGTGGGGAAAACACCTCTGGCCATCATAAAAAAACCAGGGGCTCCCTCGTACCCCCCGGTTGAGATTCCTTCCTGCAGGACCCAGGTAACAGATCATTTCAAGGGGGGTTAGATCCTAACTATATGACTACTTCATTTTGTTGGCATTTAAAGTCCCAGTGAAAGTTTAAAATCCCATTAAAGTGAAGTGACCACTTCACAAATGAGAACTTGTGAATCTGGAAACAGGGCGCTTTTAATTGATTCTGGTGAATGGCACCGTTTCTTGACCACCAAAATAAAGCACTGAAAAACTTCCTGCGCCTGGCCTGGGTAAGGAAAGAACGAAGAGATGATGAGAATGACCGAAGAGATGATGAGAATCGTTAACAAACTACTACGGTGCAGGCCAGTCTGATGAGACAGAGAGACGGTATTACCAGAATCTCGGCTGCCTGGGGAAACGGCACATGGTTGGGGGTCATTGAAAAAGAGGTATTTCTTTGTGTGATCCTGCATCATTAAAATGGGTCCACTGCCCACGGAATCGCGTGGCTTTAGAAGAAGAGGTGGGTTTTCGTTGAAAACTGGGTGTATCAAGAGCTGTTAAGCCATGGAACTCCAATGGAACTTCCACAGACCAAAGCAGTGTATCTTTGAGTAAAATTCATGAGGTGGGATGGAAACACACACACACTCCCTTGTCAACTGTGACCAAACTGGCCGTTAACTACTGGTGAGAAAAGAGTAGGTGCGGGCCTGATCCGGCAAAGCAGTCTGCCTCTCCCTGCGAGCCATGGTATGATTTCGAGCAAAGCATTTTAAGAATTTCGCTGCTATGAACTTCAGAAGGATCTCCACCGACGGCTCCTTTCTGCCTACAAAGTGCAAAGAGTTAAGAGGTGGGCGGAAAAACACCCGACCATAGATCCACTGGCGTCCATACGAAAACACGTCTCTACTTTGCAAAACAGTCCCTAGAGGAAGCCACAGGGTTGAGTTTGCAAGAGCCAAGCAGGGCGACTGAGGACTTAAAGTTTTTGGCGATGGCTAATCCGTAGGGGCGCCGCACCGAGGTGACAGGTCAGAATTCACTCCAGGGAAAGCCGGGTTCAAATCTCCCCACATCCAGGGGAGAACTTGTTACAAAAGTGAGCACGAACAGCAGGAGGTTCTTGCCAAGAGCAGTGTTACCGTTTTGTACGGAGCTGCTGCCGCGTGTGGCAGAGTAAATTCCCTCTGCCGAGCTGGAGGGGGAAGCAGAGGGCTGTGGGGCAGGAGAGCCATGGGGTAGGCGCTGAGCTGCTGTCCGCTGTCGAGAGAGGACAGTGGGCAGGAGGGGTCCTGGGGCAGCGAACAGGCCTGATCGCCAAAACAGTCCCTAGAGGAAGCCACAGGATTGAGTTTGCAAGAGCCGAGCAGGGCGACTGAGGACTTAAAGCTTTTGGCGATGGCTAATCCGTAGGGGCGCCATAATTTGGAGGCAACTTGAGCACACATAACAGCGACACCCGTCCAGAGACGCGGCTTGCACTGCTGCCGAGAGTCCATAAAGGATCTCTGTAGCGAGTACCTAAAACAAGAAACTTTTTTTTTTGCATCGGAGGTCGGGCACTAGCGTCCCTCCCTCGCTTGAGCGCACATAACAGCGACACCCGTCCAGAGACGCAGCTTGCACTGCTGCCGAGAGTCCATAAAGGATCTCTGTAGCGAGTACCTAACACAAACTTTTTTTTTGCATTGGAGGTCGGGCACTAGCGTCCCTCCCTCGCCCACAAGCCACTGACTCCCAGCCTGCTGGGTGCACCCTCTTATTCAGCAAAGC